GGACTCATATAAACCCTGAGAAAATGTTCAAATTGATTCTGTGAGTCAATTTTAACACTCAAACACTTTTTAACACTACAAACAGAAGCAGGGAGTGACCTTAAAGCGGTGCAGCCTGTGCAGTCCTGGAGCGTCAGGTGGACTCGGGGTGATTTATACAGACACTAAAGTGCCATTGATCCACTGGAGCAGAGGTCAAAGGTCACACTCTGACCTTTCACACCAATTGCCTGCAGCACTTTGGTCATAGATTTTCATCTGGACTCAAGCAGAGCAATGCATGTTTTATACACAGGACTGAACCAGGACTAAACCAGGACTGAACCAGGACTGAACCAGGACTAAACCAGGACTGAACCAGGACTAAAACCAGCACTGAACCAAGACTAAACCAGGACTAAACCAGGACTAAAACCAGGATTAAACCAGGATTAAACCAGGACTGAACCAGGACTGAACCACGACTAAACCAGGACTAAAACCAGCACTGAACCAGGACTAAACCAGAACTAAACCAGGACTAAACCAGAACTAAACCAGGACTAAAACCAGGATTAAACCAGACTGAACCAGGACTGAACCAGGACTGAACCAGGACTAGACCAGGACTGAACCAGGACTGAACCAGGACTAAACCAGGACTGAACCAGGACTGAACCAGGACTAAACCAGGACTGAACCAGGACTGAACCAGGACTGAACCAGGACTAAACCAGGTCTAAACCAGGATTAAACCAGGATTAAACCAGGACTAAACCAGGACTAAAGAAGGATTAAACCAGGACAAAACCAGGACTAAACCAGGACTAAACCAAGACAAAACCAGGACTAAACCAGGACTAAACCAGGATTGAACCAGGTCTAAACCAGGATTAAACCATGATTAAACCAGAATTAAACCAGGTCTAAACCAGGACTAAACCAGGACTGAACCAGAACTGAACGAGGATTAAACCAGGATTAAACCAGGACTAAACCAGGACTGAACCAGGTTTGAACCAGAACTATAACCAAAGAATGAACCGGGACTAATCCAGAACCAACCTAAATCTGCATTTGTCCATTTAGTCCTCATGTTTGATCCTTTTCTAGTCCTGGTCTAGTCCAGGTTTAGTTCCGCCTCAAGTCCCAATTTAGGCTGCATTCACACATAGCTGATTTGGTCCTGTCTTAATCCTGGTTTAGTCCAGGTGTAAAATTGTTTTTGTCTTGTTCTAGACCTGATGTGATCCTGATTTAGTCCTGAACCCAAAACTAAACCAGGACTGAACCAAGGCTAGTATCAGGATTAGGATTTGCCTAAACTAAATCCAGATCCAGTTTTAACCAGGACTGAACTCTGGACTAAACCAGGTCTAATGGTCTAAACGAGATCCAAACCGGGACTTAACAAATCAAATGAGGACGGACTCGAGTCTTAAATGTAAATGGAAATACTTTATTTCACCGTTACACGAGAACAAGCAGTGAAAACAATACAAAAAGAAAGAAAGGAACCAATGCAACAAAGCACCACGTAATATCAACAACTTTAAATGTGGCAAAGGAAACTTAAGCTATCGCGCTAGCTAAACTTTAGACTTTAATTTACAAATCAGCAAAACATCTGGACAACAAGCACAGTCATGCCAGTAATAGTCGTAGTATCTTACAGAGCCATGTGTGGAGATGGGACAGGAGTGACGATCTTTAAAGTTGAAGAGGAAAAAAAAAAAGAAACAAAGAGGTTCGTGGGAGTTGTAGTCCATCATGTGGTCGTGTTTGGTATTTCACAAGTTTTGCATTTGGTATAAAGAGGGCTTGAGGGAGCAGACACAGGGCAAAGCAATACATTTGGACAAAGCGTACAAGAGTTTAGTCTGGCCAGTCACACCCATTCACTTTTGCAGCGAGCTAAAACGGCTTTAAAACGTCTTCCACTGAAGCTAGAACGGAAAAAAAAAACAGTGCAAACCTAACCAATCAGAACTCTTTGAATCGGAAATGGGTGGGATTTATGCATTTGTTGTGTCTCTGATTGGTAATTTGGCAAACGTTTTCACTCAGATGTACTTTAAACAGGGTTCCCACTCGTTTTCACTGACTAAAGCTACGTTCAGACTGCTTAATTCAGATTTTTTTTTTTTTTGTGTGAAATTCGATTTTTTTGCGAGGTCGTTCACATTTCCAATAGGAGGGTTTCAGTCACGTGATCACGATGATGCGAGAATTTCAGGTGGAGGGCAGGAAGTGAAGACAAACACGACAAACACGGCTCTGGAGAACACAGATATGGAGAAGACTTCATATTGTAAGGATTTAGAGCCAGTAGCAAGGCAGAAGTACGAGCAGTTAGTCGACAAATATATTGGGCGTGACCCTGATCTTATTGAAAATGAGAGAATTTTCAACCGAAGTAAAAGATTTGCCGACAATCGAGGCAGAGGAGATCACGAACTATTTAGCTCTTCAGACATCGTTTTACACCAGACAACAGATGAAGGTGTACAAAAGTCTGGAGGCATAGAACTTTTTTTGTCAGTGGATGGGTCCTCAACCTCGGTGCAAAACGCCTAAATGATGATTATAGTTTGGTCTTCGCTGGGGTGAGTGTTTCTCTTATTTTATGTGAAAAACTCCAGTGTATCGGCAGTGACCTCTATCTGAACTATTTAATGTCAACAAACTTCGTTAGTCGTCAGTCGTTAATGATTCGTTTATGTTTAGGTAAACCACAAAAAACAATTTAGCTTTGGAACAAACCTTTGTCAAAGTGGTCACTGCAGACACGAGCATTAGCGAATTCTGCTCCTCCCGACCACAAACAGGTTTGTAATCCACTTTTTACGGCGTTGTTCTGTCGACTTTTCCCATTTCTGACCTTTGTGGGACGACTATATTCGGTACTCTAAAAAAATCGCTTTTCCGTCTCTCGGTTAGAACGATTGGCACAGCCATAAACTACACAACACATCGGCATTTTCCTCCAGTCAGTTCACTTCCTGATCCTCCATCTGATTTTGCGTGCTGACAAACGTAGCCCTGTGACGTCACGTGAAACCCAGATATTAAACGTGACTTGTTCGTGATCTCCAGTGTGAACTTTAAATGCCCCAAAAGTGTCCCGCATGAGTATTGGAGGACACGACGGCGTCACACTCAGCGAGCGTGCTGTGTTCATGAAAGTCGCCTAAAACTCCCAAAATACAGTCCAGTTCTTCGTAAAATGGAAAGGTTACACGTCCACGGTCGCTTTGTTTGTTTGAGTCTTTAGCCTCCTTGTATTTGGCTCGCAGGCTCTTTATTTTTTGTTTCAAAGACCCCTCGAATTTCACCTGAATACAGCGATCCCCGCAAATATTAACTGACTCACTAAGCTCACTTTCCCTCCATTGACGAGACTCCGAGCCTGACGTGTAGATCGGATGAATACGACCTGGACGCTCAGACTGAAGACGCACGTCAAAAGATCGGATATGTATCGGTTTTAGGAGCACATGTCCAAGTGTCCTGGGTCACGTTTGAAAAAATCTGATTTGTTATTGCATATTTATGTTGTTAAAAGATCAGATACAGGAGCATAGGGGGGACAAATCTGATTTGGTTCACTTCAGGATGCAATCTGAACATAGTCAAAATTTCAAAATTTTTTCCATGACTTTTTCATGACCTAAAGTGAATTTTCCATGACGTTATGGCACCTACATAGTGTAGAATTGATCAGACTTTTAGGGTTAAATATGAAATGTTAACCCTTTCCTCTCACTTTATGGTTTGGGATTATAGTTTTTGAACATTCAAACTCCTGTTAGTGCATTTATTGTCGTCTCTTTTAAACAAAAGGCGCAGACGTTCAGAAATAATCAGAATAGTCTAATGAGAACGTACAAAAATTTCAATGACTTTACAAAATTTCATGACTTTTCCAAGCCTGAAAAATAACATTTTCAATTTCCATTTTCCATGACCGTGGGAACCCTGTTTATATTCTATTTATTTACCTTCATGTCCACTTGTTCCAGTTGGTGTCTTTACTATTATGTAGATTATCTGAGGTATGAACAATTTAAAATCAAGTCACAGATAAGATTTGAACTTGCAACCTTCTCGTTAATGGGCAGTCATGCAAACCACTCACCCACTGTCATTGTGTACAGTAGTTGTTTTCCCAGTTGCACCTCGGTGTGACTTCTATTAAAACATATTTACAATTCATGATATTAAACTAGAAAAATGAGGCTAAAAGAAACCCGTAGTGGCTCATGACGGAGCAGCTGCGTGGACGAGCTGGATACCTGAAAGTGGTTTGTACATTTACAGAATCAGTGAACGCTCCTGATCACTGCCGTCCCTTTTGGTTCAACAGTCTACAACGAAAAGAGATCCGTCTACTTTAGTCACGACTGGAATTCAGAACATAAAACATCTTTGAGCACTTTTTGACTATCTACTTAAACCATGGGCCGAGATTCTAAAGATAAAGATTCACTGCGGAACTTTTCTGGCGGACGGTCTGTCACCTGCACATCTCTATAAAGGTATTATTATTATTATTGCATTAGACTTCTCTATCTCCATGACGATGACTAAAGTTATAAGTCAGGTCAGGTTTTTTTAACGTTCAAAACCTCTGTAATTGAATAAATGCCAAGATAGAGTATAGTGTTAAAGCAATACTGTGGAACATTCCAAGAAAAGCAATGACCTTGCAGTGGAGATAAGCAGGTAGCACACCCCCCCCACCAGGAAAATTACGAAGTGCACGTACAATTTTCAATCACATTTTGTATCTGAAAGTAAATATAACCAATCTTTAGTCACAAATGCTCAAATTAAAATTCATACTCTTAATTCAAGTCATTGTAAGTAACACAGATTTCCTTTGTTGCAGTGTACAGTCCCGTGCCCCTGTCTGCGGCGGGCGGTGAGAGGACAGGACAGGTGTACAGCCCTGCGCCCCTGTCTGCGGCGGGCGGTGAGAGGACAGGACAGGTGAGGTTTGGTGAGATTTTTACATGAACAAACTGTACAGGAGCCTTCAGTCTTCAGCACTAAAGGCACATGGGGTCCACTGAGCAGCAGATGTGTCCGTTCTGAAAGACAAGAGACAGACACAGTTACTAAGACGACATTTACAATAATGATGGGCAAATGAGACGGAGCTCTGGAGCACGTCTCGTTCTTTCTGAAACAAATCGTTCCGAAGCTCTGCCTCGGAGCTCGTCTCGCAGCAGCCGCTCACATGACCAAAGTGTCCAAGTGTCAGTCCCTCCCCCGACTGCTTCACTCTGCGTGTCGATCGCTTCAGTGTATCGAAGCGTTTCATCAGCTCAGCAAATGTTCCGCTCTGTGATTGGTTCAGAGTGCTTCAGAGTGTTCAGCGCACTTCCGTGGTTTGACGAGCGCTAAACTGCTACAGTATAAAAGATGCACCAATATTTCTTAAAAATGTTGAGTAGTGAGGAGGATTGTGTGATGTTAGTGGTGATTTTGGCGACTTTTGGCATTAGTTTCATTTTCGATGGCGTCTACAAGTGGAAAAAAGCGATCCATGGTCAGTGTTGGGGAGTAACAGATTACATGTACTGGAGTTACGTAATCAGAGTACAAATTATGAGTAACTGTATTCAGTTACTGTTTCAGTGAGTGGTAATTGGATTACAGTTACTTTGTTGAAATAAATGGATTACAGGACGGTATTTTCCTGTTTTCACATTTTGGGCTAAACCAGAACTAAAACCAGGACTAAAACCAGGACGTAACCAGGACTAAACCAGGATTAAATCAGGACTAAAACCAGGACCAAAACAGGACTAAACCAAGATTAAACCAGGATTAAAACCTGGACCAAAACCAGGACTAAACCAGGACTAAACCAGGACTAAACCAAGACTAAAACCAGGATTAAAACCTGGACCAAAACCAGGACTAAACCAGGACCAAACCAGGACTAAACCAGGACTAAACAATATGATACCTAACATTAGGGTGGACATAATTTCAGGCACCAGTGACCTCATATAAAAAGCATTTCTTTATCAATAATATTTTTTAATAAGGTTAAGGAAAGACTGGAATTTTTATTGTCTTTAAACAGATATGTTCAGATTCAGTCTTTGCCACTTTACAGTAAACTAACACCTGTTCATGGAGACACAACAGACAATTTGAAGAGAACAAACAAGAATTTTCAGGATGTGGCCGGTATTTTTATGTAGTTTTAAAAACATGACAATATCAAGTAATCCAAAGTATTCAGATTACATTACTCACCTTAAGTAATTTAATGGATTCCGTTACAAACTACATTTTGGAGTATGTAATCTGTAATCTGTAGGGGAATACATTTTAAAAGTCACCTTCTCAACACTGTCCATGGTTTGGGATCACTTTGAACAAGGTCATCTATTTTCTTATTTACAGCTGCTATTTATGTTGCTCTTTACATATTATTTTAAATCATCATTATTCTTGTTGTTGTGTGGTACGGCGTTTGCTCTGCACACAAGTATTGTCTTATTGTTAAATTTGTCCACTAGAGGTCAGTGTTTCTCCGAGGCCTCAGACTCGTCGAATCATTTGAGACGATATTGCGACTGAGGTGTCGATGCTTCACGAGGCTCCATTCACCCATCACTAGTTTACACTGAAACAAATCCACGTATCACCGTATCACTGTATCAGAAACAATCCAGACACGTCGTCTCTGTTTCTGCAAGTCTTCTCTATCCACACAGCTTTGAGCATATTTGTTTATGTTTTCCAGAAATGAAACTTAAAACCAAATGGCTCATTTGCATAAACTAAACGCTCAAAAAACAGCTCGTTCCTTGTGCGCTGATGTGGTTCAGCTTCTGTCGGACTAAAGGACACAGTGACTCAGTGGAATATGAGTGTTCTTTCTGTGACAGAGGGGTGTTCTGCTGACGGTGAGTCTGTTCTGTGTTTCTGTCGTGTTGGAGATGGTTCATGTGAAACTTTTCAGAGATTATACGTCTGCAGGTTGCACACACAGACACACGTTTATATGAATGGACATATATTCTAGCTTCATAGCATTTTGGCGGTGAATTACTTCGCGACGCACAGAACTGTATCAGCATATCAGTGTTTTCAGGCGTCCACACAGAATTTGTGGGAGCTGGAGGCACCAGATCGTTCCGTCTCTGGAGCCATTTTCAGTCAGATTAGTGTGAACGAACTCTGCATCCACAACGAAAACAACTCAAATATTAATATTATATTATATTAAATACATCAAATATTTTCAGTGTTGGGAAGGTGACTTTTAAAATGTATTCCCCTACAGATTACAGATTACATACCCCAAAATGTAGTTTGTAATGGAATCCAATAAATTATTTAAAGTGAGTAACGTAATCTGAATACTTTGGATTACTTGGTTTGCTGTAGAGAAGCAAAGACTAGGATATCGTAACATAAGAATTTTTGTCTGTTAAAAGAAAATAAAAAGCCCAGACTTTACTGAACCGTATTAAAAATATTATTGATAAAAGAGGAGACACGTCCACGCAGCATGGTTTAGTTCTGTTAAATCCTGTTTGAGACATAGTTTAGACCTGGTTTTAGTCCTGGTTTAGTCCTAGTTTAGGCCTAGTTTAGACCTGGTTTTAGTCCAGGCTTAGACCAGGTTTAGACCTGGTTTAGACCTGGTTTTAGACCTGGTTTAGTCCTGGTTTAGACCTGGTTTTAGACCTGGTTTTGACCTGGTTTCAGACCAGGTTTAGACCTGGTTTAGACCTGGTTTAGACCTGGTTTTAGACCTGGTTTTAGACTTGGTTTAGTGTCTGGCAATGAGTGGAATTACCGAAAAAAAAAAAAAAAAAAAAAGGAATAGCCCAAAATGTGAAAACAGGAAAATACTTCTGTGTAATCCATTTATTTCAACCAAGTAACTGTAATCCAATTACCACTCACTGAAACAGTAACTGTAACTGAATACAGTTACTCATAATTTGTACTCTGTTTATGTAACTCTGGTACATGTAATCTGTTACTCCCCAACACTGTGTATTAGTGTGGATGGGGCCTAAGAGGTAAGAGGACTGTGGGAGTTATCGTCCATCATGTTTTCATGTTTGTGATTTCACAAGTTTCCATTTGGTATAAAAAGTTTGAGGAGGCAGACGCAGGACAAACAAATCATACTTTGCAGCTGATGTCAACATTCATTAGGGGTGTGATGCTAACTGTAGGCACAAAGGATGTAACAATATCTATTTATATCAATATATTTTCACGATATGCATCCTCCGGTTCGATATTTATTGTGATATTTTGAGGGGGCTTACAAAATTGTGAAAATGCTACTTTTTCCTTTTGAAAATTTTGGAAAAGTCTTGAAAATCCTTTGGTACTGTTACAATGTGAAGAATTACATTTTAAAAGTGCTTAATAACAGTTATTTCTTCATGTTTTCTACACTGACAACAGCAAAGGATCATGGTCTATGTAGTTCCCTCTGTTTTTCGCTCATGATGCACCATGACAACCCAAGGCACGTTTATTTGTATAGCACAGTTCATACACAAAGTAATTCAAAGTGCTGTCACCACTGTCGCCATGGTAACTGGTGAATATTCCACTATAGACATACATGCAGAACACCCCTAGTGTGATATTACTGCAAAGCATCAACACATTTCAACAAAGTGCACGAGTTAGTGTAGCCAATCACACCCAGAGTTGTGACCAAGTCATTGTTTAGCAAGTGTCTGACCTCAAGTCCGAGTCAAGTCCCAAGTCAAATACAGACAAGTCCAAGTCAAGTCTCGAGTCACTGGCCCATAAGTCCAAGTCAAGTCCAACTCATCTGCTTTTGAGCTTCAAGTTATTTCAAGTCTTTAAACCAAAATACCAAATATAGTTTAGATTTTTGCAATTTATATGAATTTTAAACTAAATTGTATTTAAAAAGTCATAGTATTTTTATATATGACTATTTATATAAGAGTTGTAGAAATGCATTTTTTTCCTTTTTAAATGTTTTGACAAAATAATAGTGTGAATCATTATGGTCAGAATAGAAAGAATTCAGATTTAAAAGTTCCCTTGGTTTTACTTTTTTGTACTGTATATATTGTATTGTACTATATATCACTGTATTGTATTGTATATCATTGTAGTACATTTGATACCATATCACAATACTTCAGTTCCATTTAAAGTACCAAACAGAAGTGGGAAGGACATGTTCCAGTTTGTTCCTGTAAAATTCAGCGCCGCATTAATCAACAGTAAAAAGAAAAGTATTTTCTAAAAACATATATTTTTTTTAGTAGAAGCATCGAGTCTCCCAACGTCAGAGGCGTCAAATCCAAATCAAGTCGAGTTTCAAGTCTTTGTCTAGTTTATCAAGTCAAGTCTCAAGTCCTAAAAATAGTGACTCAAGTCTGACTCGAGTCCAAGTCACGACTTGCAAGTTCCCACCTCTGGTCACACCCACTGACTTTTGCAGCGAGCTAAAACGAAAATGGTCCACGTTAACCAATCAGAACGCTGTGAATGTGAAACGGGTGCGGTTTATGCAGAGTCATGTCGTCACCGCAGTGCAGTGTTGATAGAAATTCATTTCATTGCTGCTTGTTCCATTTGGTGCCTTTACAAGTACGGTGCCTAACGGACAGTTCACTGAGAGGAGACAGAAGCAGAGTGAGCCTTTTAACCTGAGGGGGGCGCTGGAGGAGTCGTGGTATTATTCATGATATTATTGAGGTTTGGAGCGCAGCAGCAGAATATAGACGACGGCTTTGACATTTACAGCTTCTGTCGATGTCACTTTGGCACCAACTGATCCACAAAAGAGGACAGAATGCTGATGAGAGGAGGAGGAGGAGGAGCCAGGACCCTGCACAATCCAACTGTCTCTACTGATTTCAGATTTGAATTCAATCATAGAATTATTTAAGTTGTTTTATTTTACTTCATTTCAGCTAAATCTATACTGTTATCAGTTAAGATTAGATAGTCTCTTAAAAACAGTCTAATCATGCAGCCCCAGCTTAGTGCGTACTTCCTATCTACTACATACTACATACCTACATCATCAAATACTTACTAGTACTACTACTAC